GTCGGCAACCTGCAAGCCTGGTGCTGTGGCCCCGTTGCCCCCTATGTTTGTTTCTTTAAAAACTATCATCATCATTGAAAATGAGAATTATCATCCTCATCCCCATTGAAGATAATAATCATAATAATATAGCATTCAATTTTGTGAATAACCCCTCTGGCTTGTTTCCGCTTGCCAAATCGAGGGTTTATCAAGCATCTGGCAGAACGGCTAAAATGCAGCTGCTAGCCATGATTCTGACTGCCCTTTGACAGAGCTGTATCCCATGGCAATTGGCATTAGGCTTCCCAAGCCACTCAGCTGGGCAGTGAGGAAAAGAATGGCAGGAAACCGAGGGGACATCAGCAGCAACCCGGCATGTAGACGTTACTCCTTGAGCCCCTGGAAGAAATGTCATTGGGAGGTGCTAGGATGCTCTGGCCTTTGGGCAAAACTCCATGGTTTAATGATAAGGTAAAGGTAAAGGTAAAGGTTCCCTTGCTCGAAAGCCAGTCGAGTCCGACTCTAGGGTTGTGTTGGGCAAAACTCCACTCCTAAATGATAAGAGTTCTGCCCAAATGCCGAAACATCCTCAGAGACGCTCTGACATTACTTCTGGGTGCACAGGGTGCGTTGCCGGCAATGTCAGCATGTTGCCAGTGAGCCTCCTCCCCCCAGCAAGGAAAGTCTCCTGCCACTTGATGGGGGGACCTGGCACCCCTGAAAGTTGGAGTTCTGTTGGCCTACACTGGCGATGTTCACTCAGTGGCTTGGGAGCCATATGTGCTCTTCAACATGGCACCTGTGGCTGTTCTGAACACTGTCCCCCAGATTGGGCTCCTGCCCCAGGTTTCAGGAAAGTGGGCAAGGCCCTTGCCTGGTGAGGCCTGTGGTTGGCAGGTGGTTCCCACCTTGAAACAGCCGCTGCCAGAGGTACAGGTCAGCTGTGCAGGCCTCATGCCAGGGCTGGAAGTAAATGTGGCTCTTTTGGTTGCTGATCATTGCAGATGTGGCTCCCTCTGAGTGGTGGAGTGAGTACCACTGGCTTACACAATGTGCATATCACTCTGTGGTTGCCTTCATTTTTTTGTTGTATGCGGGAGCTGGGCCAATGGAGTCAGTACCACCAGCAGAAGCCGAATAACGGGTGCTGCATGAGACCACCACCCTCCTAGTTGTCTCTGTCGTGCACGGCTCTCATGAAAGCGCGGTGGATGCTGCAGGTTCTTATGTCCAATTTGTGTTCGTTGATTCTGTCACACTGAGACCGGCAAGTCTGTCCACTGTAGACAGAAGAAGGTCATTATAGGTACGTGATTGCATATATTAAATTATATGGTGTGCAAAGAGATGAACCCAGGATGGTGTGGCTGATTTTTAAAATTCATTTACACCCCATCTTTCTCCCTCACAGGGATCCAAGATATTTTGTTGTCCTGTCCTACATTTTATTCTCACAACAGCCCTGTGAGGTAGGTGAGGCTGACAGTGTGTGATTGGCTTGAGATCACCCAGTGCTCTTCTGTGGCTGCATGGGGATTCTAACCTGGGTCTCCCACATTCTATTCCAACACTCTAACCTCTACAACCACACTTATTAGGTCCTATTACATCATTTTTGGAATACATAGAATTATAGAGTTGAAAGGGACCTCAAGGGTCATCTAGTCCAACCCCCTGCACAATGCAGGAAATTCACAAATACCTCCCTCCAAACAGCCCCAGTGACCCCCTGCTCCATGCCCATTGTGTGGCTGTTGTCACCCTAATATCTGCTGCCTGAAGCCACTGGCCCATGGTTGGAGGGCGGAGACATGATGTGGGGGAACAGTGTCACCAGTCGAATGACATCACTTTGGGGGAATACCCAGAAGTGATGGCAATAACTCTAGGAATTGCCCAAAATCCTGTGGTTTTACCACAGAGGTTCCAGTAATTCCTAGAGCTACCACACTTGTGTTCCATGTGATGCCATTATGTGGGTGAGGCCGATGAGTTTTTGTTTATCTTAAACTTTTTATTTACTTTAATTTTTATGGGGAATGGGGATTTGGGGTGGGGGATTCCTCTCCCTGACCAGGGGCTTGGCAGCCCTACTCCTCGTGGTAGAGCCAGGCACGGTTGTCACTTTAAATTGATTTCTGGGCATACTCCCTTGTTTCTAGGCTTCCCCCTCCACCCACAGACAC